GCCCTTCCATGAGGACACTGTTCATTCTTCAAATCCCAGACTCACAAAGTAACACCAAAATAAAGCTTACCTGATCAAAGCAGAAACCCAGGAGCAAGTTCTGTCCTAGTGCAGAACAAGCTACAAAACCCTTCCTATGACTTTTCTTTCAAGCTGTGCTCTCTTCCCCCATCTATAGAATCCCCAGACCCTTTCCCAGCTGGGTCAGACAATCCCTTCCCACTAGGCCAAACCACCTGTTCAACAAAAGGCTCTGTCTCCAAACAGGGCTGGCTTGGGGCTTAAAGGTACAGACCAGCACACTCTGTTACAACCCTTCATTGTACTGTCCTCAGTCTAGATCAATGTGATCCAGAGACTGGGGGGAAGAATTGTAACGTAAATACGTGGGTGAAATCCTGGCCCACATAGAAGTCAGTGACAAAACTCCCATTAACTTCACTAGGGCCAGCATTTCACCCATTGAAATCAACAGGTTTTGCATTAGTGATTTAACTTGGAGTAGAGTTAGGCCAATGCTGAGAGCATGTGAAAATCCGACCCACAGTACACACAGGGTGTGTGACATGCAGGCAGAATCATGTTAATGAAAGAACCATTTTTTTTCCCCTCTTACTTTTGTTTAGAGTCAGGCTAGTGTACCTACAAGGCTTACGGGGCTTTATTTTGTTACATTATTTTATTTATTCATCTTTTGTTGGTCTCCTAATTGGGATATATAGTCAAACCTTTGATCTCTTTATGGGCTTTTTGCCAAAGCAAAGTAACCTGGGGATCAATTGCTGATGCTCTGTTGCATAAATGTAAAATGTTACTCATGGGAAGGGGCCGGGGCTGTGTCATTCAGTGAATGACAAAGTGAAAAATAAATATTTGAATGAAACAAACAATAGGCGCCGAAATCAAAGCTGTGCTCCTGGTGCCAATACCTTGGGAAGATTAAAAAACATAATCTGGGCATGCATCTTCAGTATCTTTGTCAAATTAGTAGCCACACCTCTTTTTCCCTATTAACCATTAAAACTGAAGGCAGAGGTAATGTGACGGGGTTGGGACTCACCACCGCAGCACTTCCTGCTGTTCACTCTGGGAATTAGCTCAGTTCATGCAGAGCGCCCTCTGCTGGTGGTGTCCCATCAGCCTCTCGCCCTAGATTGGCGTCTCAACCCACGTTGCTCCCAGCTCACGGAGTCCTTTTCAGGACACTGCCCTCCGGCAGTGCCCTCTACTCCAGTCTCACCCCCTTCCAGGGGTTTGGTGTTATCAGCAGTCCTTCTCTTTGCCCCAGCCACAATGGCCAACCTCACCCCAAAGTCTAACTCCTTTTGGCAGGGGTCTGGTGCAGTCCGTGATGGCTACTCCTAACGGCCAGGTGGAGGTGCGGGGCGGGGGGGGGGGGGGGACCCAGGCCCACCCTCTACTCTGGGTCCCGACCCAGGGACCCTTTGGCGGCAGCCTTCCTGCCTGCCCTCCTTCTCTCCATTTGTCCATCACTCTCCCTGGGCCATTTCCCCTTTGGCCCCTTTCCACCAGGTAGGCCCTTTTTCTCAGGGCCCACAACACAGCAGGTACTGGGCAGGGGTTCCCTTCTACTCCCCCGCCTGCCCAGCACTGCTCTGTCCCTGGTACTAGTCTCCTCACACAGGACACAGACCTTCACCCTCCTGGGCAGCCTTTATATAGGGTCTAGCCTAGCCCTGATTGGCTGGCTGTAATACTGGCCCTGTTTGGCTCTCTAACAGGCCCTCCCTGATTGGCTGCCGCCTTGCGCAGCCGCTCTGGCCTGTTGAAGCCCAATCTGGCATGGGGGTGGGGCACCGACCCGCCACAGGTAAATATAGTGCAGGAGGTCAGATGAGATGATCACAATGGTCCCTTCTGGACTTATAATTCACAAAGCTTTATTAAATGCATCAGAATTAGACATAGTATCTGATGTTTATCATCATGCCTGGGATGATTTTGGATATGACCAATGGGTAACAAGTGTACCTTTGAAAATCAAACCCAGATCCTCCATGTAGTTATTTTGTATTTCAGGCTGTCAGAGGGCGGCCTGCCCCTTTAAGGGCCAGTCAGCTCACCTGTGCCATAATTAGCTGCATCTTAGTCAGAGGAGGCAGGAGACAGCTTGTGAGACACCTGGGCTGTGTGAAAGGGCTGAGAAGAGTAAATTTGAGGGGGGGGGGTACTAGGGTGTTGGTAGGGCCTGAGGGGATTATAGGAGATTATTCTAGAGCTACTGAGTGATTTAAATGAAGGCAAGAAGGGGTGGGGAAATGAGCCTGGGGGATTGGTTGAAAAGCCCAAACAGGATGGGAGAATCTCTTATTTGTGTGAGTTTTTGTTACCCTAGAAGGGAATCTAGACTAGATGTGACTTCACAGTTTAGTCCTTGAGTTGACAGAAAGAGCAACTGTAGGGCGAAAGGTTTCAGAGTGGTAGCCGTGTTCGTCTGTATCAGCAAAAACAACAAGGAGTCCTTGTGGCACCTTAGGGACTTAACAAATTTATCTGGGCAAAAGCTTATGCTCAAATAAATTTGTTAGTCTCTAAGGTGCTACACGGACTCCTTGTTATTTTTGTAGGGCCAAAGGTGCTCAACAAGGGGTGCTCGAGGCAAAGGCCTGCCTGCAATGCCATGGCTTGAGGATAGGGTGGGGAGTGGAACTGCTTATACAGGTGCGTCTAAGCTTTTTGTCATAGCAACACTGACCAGGGTTTAATAACAGCGTCTCCTGGGCCTACCATCTCATCCCTTTGCAATTGTGTGCCTCCCCTTTCTTCTCAGCTGTGTTTTCATATAACACCTCTGTAGCAAGGGCACTAATCAATTACATGCAAAAGGGATGTTAGGGAAGTATTTGATCCATCCTCTGTTGTCTTTAATGCAATTTGTCAGCTAATAATGGGGCCACGTAAGTTACCAACACTCCTGCTTTTACTGCAAGTCTTGTGATATTTCATGTTTCACGTAAAGCCCCAGACTGTGCAGACAAGTGATTGTGCGAGACAATTAGCCTTTTAGTAGTTGCAGATTTCTAGTCCTCCCTGTTGTGGAGAAAAGCTTGAAAATGTGACCCGAGTGCACCTGAAAGGTTCAAAGGAAAAGAACCCCAAATGTATCATTTTAAAAGCATCATGTTACGCCAATCTTTTGACTGGGGGGACTAGACTTGTGACTCTTGAGTGTCGTCGTCATATTGGGTTGGTAAAACTGCCATCTAGCTTGCTACAGCCCACCATCAAGTGCTCTGTGGACCATGAGTGTGTGCCATAGGCAATGTTTTGAGAACCACTGATGTATTTGACTTCAGTGATACCCTTTTATTTTAAACCCCTCACTGTTGCAGCCACCTCTGGTTCCAGTCACCACCAATGCCAGCGTGAGCTTGGGAGATGAAGCTTCATGACATAGTGGAGGTGGGGGAAGGAAGAAGAAGAAATGTCAGAGGAGAACATGTTTCAGAGTAGCAGCCGTGTTAGTCTGTATTCGCAAAAAGAACAGGAGGACTTGTGGCACCTTAGAGACTAACCAATTTATTTGAGCATAAGCTTTCGTGAGCTACAGCTCACTTCATCGGATGCATACTGTGGAATTCTGTATTTTCCACAGCATGCATCCGATGAAGTGAGCTGTAGCTCATGAAAGCTCATGCTCAAATAAATTGGTTAGTCTCTGAGGTGCCACAAGTACTCCTTTTCTTTTAGAGGGGAACATGAGTCAGAGGGATAGAGTGAGGGGAGACTGATGGGCCAGAAAGCTCTGATGGCATTCTTTGTTACAGGAATTTCCAGTGGGGGAAAAGAGTGTGATATAAGCGGTTGGTCTGGTGCCAAACGGGCCTGGCCAAATTGGCCAAATATATCCACTGAGTCAGGCTTTCTGGACTCCAGCAGAGCTCTTGTGAAATGCTGCAAGAAGTTAAAGTATGAACCCTCCCTTTTGAAAATCCATGGAGGGCAGTGGCAAATATCCTGCCATGTGCAAAGCTGAATCTCCCTGGGTGCAAGGAGCTCTGCTAGCAAAACGAGGCACACAGCTCCTTGCACTGGGTTTGCTGAACTTGTCTCAATGGTTTTAAGTAATTTTTATTTCAACTGTGCCAAGAAACTCCGGCTGAGAGCAGGCCCCCATTAGGTGCTGTCTGTAAGTACATGGTCCCTACCTAGAAGAGCTTCAATTTAAGGCAGAGAGGATGTGAGAAATAATGATTTATTATCCCCATTTTACAGGGGGAGGTTCCTTAATCTCCGGGGTCACAGAGGAAGTCTGTGGAAAAGCCAGTGATGGAACCCAGATCTCCTGAGTCCTAAGCCAGTTCCTTAACTTCAACACCATCCTCCCACTTCACCTGTAGGCATCTGATGACTCCCATGTTATTACCCTTTGGCTACCAGTTTAAGAATTTGGAGGCTGATCCTGCAAATCCTTACTCAGCTGAGTCACCTGTACTTGAAGACAATGCCATTGCTGGCATGAGGAGGGAGAAGCCACTTGCCTGAAGGTTACTCTGAACACCTAGGGTGAAACCCCACTCCCACTGAAGTCAGGGACGACACTCTCATTCACTTCCATAGGATCAGGCTTTTCGCCCATACTGAACACTTATTTCATGTAGACCAGCTAGCCAACTCTCTCCAGTCCTTTTGTGAAGGTGATTACTCCTGCCGTACCTTGGCATGATACAAACTAATAAGCTGAACACCGAATACAGTGACACGAACAAGCAATCAATAAAAGGTACTTTAGATACCAAGGAGATCCACGCCAGCAAAGCCTATCCTCGACTCCCCACTTGTCAGAAATCCAGGCACACAGCCCGTGGGGGGTTCTACAGGGAGTCCCGTTCTCCCAGCTCAACAATCCCAGGGAGGGGAAAGGTGCAGGGTGAGGAGAGAGGGTCCCAGGCACTGCCTCCTCCCTGCGGTGTGTGCGCGGAAGGGAGTTGCTTGGGAGGATGGGCTGTGGGCATCGGGCATCCTTCCAGCTCCAAGGCTCAGAGGCACAGAGCGGAGGCACGCGCTGTGTGGCGTCTTAGCCGGCCCCTCGCTCTCCTTCCTGCGTCTCCCTGGCGCTCCGGGAGAGGGCCGAGCCCCAGTTCGCGGCTGGCGCTGCTAGGTGGCTGGCTGCTCCCAGCAGCCGGGCAGGGAAGCTCCGTGGCGCCGCTCACCCCCGCTCGCACGTAGAGCGGAGCGGAGCGGAGCGGAGCGGGTCGGGCGAGGACGGGGGGCGGATTCACACACACACGCAGCAGCGGCGGCCGGTGCAGTTTCAGGCGCTCTGGCCATCTAGGGCGCACATCTTCCATCTCCCTCCTCCTCCAGCGGCTGCTCTGGCGGTGCCTCCCCCTCGCCAAGCCTCCATCTCCGGCCGGGGCTTGCCCCCCCCCCTCCTCACCGCCCCCCACATAGCGCACGTTGCTGGGCTCGGGAGCGCAGCCCGAGGCGGGCAGAGCGCGGCTGCCCCAGCGCCGGAGCGGGGAGCGCGGAGAGCCCTGGCCCGCCAGCGCGCACCCATGCGCTAGGGGAGCGGAGCGCACAGCGGGGAGGCAGGCGACGGCACCGGCTGCGGAGGAGGATGCGGGGCTCGGGCGCCCGGGCAGGGGCAGCGGGGCTCGGCTGCAGCGGCGGCGGCTCCCCGGCTCCCCTCTGGACGTGTCTCCTGCTGTGCGGGGCGCTGCGGAGCCTGCTGGCCAGCCCCAGCAACGAAGGTGAGAGGCGCTGGGTGGGTGGGACCCTGCCCCGGGGCTGCTCGCCGCCGCGGGAGCCGGGGAGTGACTCGGGCTCTCTCGCCCTGGGTTGGTGGGAAGGGACTGGAGCATCCCGCCGGTGCCCGTGTCCGCGCCCTGCGCCTGGGGGAGCACCTGGTCGGCTCCCGGGGGGCGGGCGACTGCGCCCCCTTCGTGTTCTCCAGCCCCCTGGTCCCGCTGTCCAGCCCCCGTGCCCCTCACAGCCTCCTGGCCACGGCTCCCTACCCTGCCCCTCGCCGTCTCCGGGTCCCCTCCGCCCCGTGCCCACAACTCGCCCTGACCCTCCATTCCCCGGGTCCCCCCAGAGCTCCCTTTCCCCAGCCCCCCACCGCCCCCCAGACACAGCGCCCTGCCCCGTGCCCACAACCCGCCCTGCCTCTCCGCTCCCCGGGTCCCCCCATAGCTCCCCTCTACCGCCCCCCCCAGACACAGCGCCCTGCCCCGTGCCCACAACCCGCCCTGCCCTCCCCCCTCCCCTCCGCCCCCCCCCCCCCCCCCCCCCCCCCCCCCCCCCCCCCCTCCCCGGGTCCCCCCATAGCTCCCCTCTACCGCCCCCCAACCGCCCCCCACATAGCGCCCTACCCCGTGCCCACAACCCGCCCTGCCTCTCCGCTCCCCGGGTCCCCCCATAGATCCCCCCCCCACCCCCTCCTCTCCCTCCCCTCCCCCATACCCCCCGCCCCCCACATAGCGCCCTGCCCCGTGCCCACAACCCGCCCTGCCTCTCCGCTCCCCGGGTCCCCCCATAGCTCCCCTCTACCGCCCCCCAACCGCCCCCCACATAGCGCCCTGCCCCGTGCCCACAACCCGCCCTGCCTCTCCGCTCCCCGGGTCCCCCATAGCTCCCCCGTACCGCCCCCCCCAGACACAGCGCCCTGCCCCGTGCCCACAACCTGCCCTGCCCTCCTCTCCGCTCCCCGGGTCCCCCATAGCTCCCCCCTACCGCCCCCCAGACACAGCGCCCTGCCCCGTGCCCACAACCCGCCCTGCCTCTCCGCTCCCCGGGTCCCCCCATAGCTCCCCCCTACCGCCCCCCCACCGCCACACAGCGCCCTGCCCCGTGCCCACAACCCGCCCTGCCTCTCCGCTCCCCGGGTCCCCCATAGCTCCCCCCACATAGCGCCCTGCCCCGTGCCCACAGCCCGCCCTGCCTCTCCGCTCCCCGGGTCCCCCCATAGCTCCCCCCTACCGCCCCCCAGACACAGCGCCCTGCCCCGTGCCCACAGCCCGCCCTGCCTCTCCGCTCCCCGGGTCCCCCCATAGCTCCCTTCCCCAGCCCCCCAGACAGAGCGCCCTGCCCCGTGCCCACCACTCCCCCCGCCCCTCAGCTGCCCGGGTCCCCCCATAGCTCCCTTTCTCTAGCCTCCAAGACACACACAGCGCCCTGCCCCGTGTCCACAACCTGCCCTGCCCCTCCGCTCCCCGGGTCCCCCCCATAGCTCCCCCTACTTCCCCCCACGTAGCGCCCTGCCCCGTGCCCACAACCCGCCCTGCTCTCCGCTCCCCAGGTCCCCCCATAGCTCCCTTCCCCAGCCCCCCTACCGCCCGCCCCCCAACGCCCTGCTCCGTGCCCACAACCTGCCATACCCCTCCGCTCTCCGGGTCCCCCCATAGCTCCCCCCACCGCTCCCTCCCCCCCCAGCGCCCTGCTCCGTGCCCACAACCTGCCATACCCCTCCGCTCTCCGGGTCCCCCCATAGCTCCCCCCACCGCTCCCTCCCTCCCCAGCGCCCTGCCCCGTGTCCACAACCCGCTCTGCCCCTCCTCTCCCCGGGTCCCCCCATAGCTCCCTTCCCCCCGCCCCCCTACCGCTCTGCCCCGTGCCCCCGCCCCCGTGTCCCCCCCCCCGGCCCGTCTCTCCAGTCCCCGTCCCCCCGGCCCGCAGCTCCCCGAGGCTCGCTCCGCTCTTCCCGGCAGCAGGCTCCCGGGGCCGGCAGCCCCCTTCCCGGCTGAGCGGCTGCGGGCGGCGCGCCCGGCTGTGGCGGGGCGTCGCGGGGCGCCCCGCGGGGCTCTGGGCGGCTCGGGCAGGCGGCTCAACCCTGGCGCCCCGGTGCGCGGTGCGGCGTGTGTTGTGGGGCGGGGGGTGCAAGTCCGGGGTTGCGTGTCTGCGTCCCGCTGCGGTGGCGTGTGTGTTTATTCCACGGCGTGTGTGGGGTTGCGTGTATGTTTTGTCTTTTGTGTGACGCTCTCTGGGTGTTTTGTGTTTGCTTGTGTGTGTATGTGTGTCGGGCTGCATGCTGTGCATTGGGGTTATGTGGGTGTTTTGTGCTGTGCCTGTGTTTGGGTTGGGCTGTGCTCTGTGTGTGTTTGTTGTGCTGTCTGCCTATTTGCCGTTCGGCTTGTGTGGTTGTACTGTATGTTTTGTGTCGTGGGGTTGGACTGGATTGTATGTGTCCAGCCAGACGCTTACAACCTCTCTTTAGTGTCCCATTGAAATTACCCCAGCTCCAGAGCCCAGGAATTAGCCCCCGGAGTAAGGCTCTGAGACCCCAGCGCCTAAACAGAGCTACCAGGAGCAGTACAACAAAAATCCAGACCCAAATTAAAGCTAAACAGGCCCAAGAGGAGAGAGGATGGGAGTAGGAAATACCTTTCCCCCCTAAAGATATTTATTTATTTCTGGCGCATTTCAAATGCTGTCCAAAGTTTATTTACTTTTTTTAAGAAGGTGCCTTGTGCAACAAGGAAAAAAAAAAAACCCACCTCGGGGAAATGAGAATATAAGAATTGTTACCCCATAATACCGCAACAAGCGGAATGGATACTTGTGCTGATTATTGCTGACAATTTAAAAGTTTCATCTGCTTGAAGTCAATATGTAAAGACATATGACATGGTTTTCTGATTGGCAGGGATGCTTTCCCGTTTTTCTTAAACCTGTTTTTCGATTTTGGGTTTTTTTTTTTTTTTATCCACAAGGTAGATCATATTGAGGTTTTTTGTTGTTTTTTGGATCCACATGCAGGTTGTAATACACAAACTTTCGGGCCAAGAAGCCTGCTTATAAGCCAAGCTTATTACACGCAGTGATTTATTAGTGAAATTCCTACAAGGGGGGAGGAGGGGAAAAGGCACAGCGAGGTTTCAGAGCTGTGGCCTGAGGTAAATAGCTTGTCATGATATATTTCAGAAAATGGGATTAATGCAAATCACAGAAAAATATACAGAGGAAGGGACAAATGCATGGTGGTGGCTGTGAAGTTATGGAGTGCTCAGGGCTAGAGAATGCATAGATTAGGGGAGGGTGAATGTTTCCTTAGATTTCTCTTCGACAAATCAGTCATTATGGATCCAGTCTTCAAACATATCCATGCTTGTGAATAACTTCATTGGGACTACTCATTCCAGTAAAGTCAGTTGGATTGCTCTCAAGAGTAAGCTACTCACTGGGCATTTATATGAACGGTTTCTAAGTTGGGAGTATGTTGTTTTGTTCTGGTTTATCATGATTTGCACTGATCTATTAATAAAAAGAGAGACAGACACTTTGCACCTGCAATCTCTTACTCACACATGGTCCTTACGCATGTGAGTATGTCCCACTGGAGTCAAAGGGGTGGCTGCAAGTGAGTTAAGGCCACTTGTGAACAAAAACTTGCAGGATCGGGCCTCTGTTGTATGATAGAATACTGGAATTTTTTAAAGGAAATTGCCTTGTTACATGGTTTAGTGAGATCTTTAGGGAAAGAAGAGATGGGGGAATATTGCAATAAGTATTGACAGCACATGGGTTGACTTTATACCAGGTTTCAGAGGAACAGCCGTGTTAGTCTGTATTCGCAAAAGAAAAGGAGTACTTGTGGCACCTTCGTCGGATGCGTACTGTGGAGACTGCGGAGGACATTATATACACAGAGACCATGGGGCAGTGCCTCCTCCCATCCCACTCTCCTGCTGGTAATAGCTTATCTAAAGTGATCACTCTCCTTACTGTTACTCACAGCTTCTTGTCAACTGTTTGAAATGGGCCATCCTGATTATCACTACAAAGGTTTTTTTTCTCCTGCTGATAATAGCCCACTTTAATTGATTGCTCTTGTTAGAGTTGCCATTTTTTCATGTTCTCTGTGTGTATGTGTATATATACATATATGTACATCTTCCTGCTGTATTTTCCACTGCATGCATCTGATGAAGTGGGCTTTAGCCCTCGAAAGCTTATGCTCAAATAAATTGGTTAGTCTCTAAGGTGCCACAAGTACTCCTTTTCTTTTGACTTTATACCGTCTCATTCTCTTCCCCCTTTTGTTCACAATCTTCATCTTTTATGCTTTTCATAAGCCCAGGGCAGGAAGTGAAGTCTAGAGGTGGACCTGAACTTATTCAGCAAACAGCCACTCTACCATTTGTAGATTTATTTGTAAACAAGCATTATCTGACAAGTGCTTTTCACAGCATGGCTTCTTGGCCAATTACTGCTGAACAGTTCTACTTTGAAAATGATTCACCCTGCAGTGAATCAAGGCTAATTCATTAGAGCCTCGGTTGCTAAAGTCCCTGTGCCATATGCTGTTGACACTTGTCAACAGTTCGGTTTTGAAAAGTTCAGTGTTGTTTCTCTCAGCATTCAAGGTGCATTCTGGGAGACAGAACCTCAGCTGGTGTGAATTGCCATCCCTAGCTCAGCTGACTTCAATCGAGATTTGAAAATTTACACTAGCTGAGAGATCATAGGTTTATTTGTAGCCAACTGTGGGGAGGAGGGGTTGGACTTCTTGAAGATGGGAGGATAAAAAAGTTAGTCAAGTTTTCCTTGTTTTGTTTTTTGTTTTGTTTCCTTTGTAATTTCGTTTCTGCTGTGCCTAAAAAAGAACTTGGTCAGCAAAGGATGTGTACCACTTGGCTGTGTTAGCGTAATCGCTTTTATTTTCCAGTAACAATTGTGAGAACTTTATTTCCACATATCTTACGAATCAAATATTAGTACTGAGTTAATCTTAAACTGAACTTTTGTTTTAACT